CTGTTGAACAGAGGCTGTGGTGAGATGATCTGATACACATCTATCGATCAGGCATTGTTACGAAACACACCTGTTAGATCTAGTAAGGTTTGATCCAAGACATCTGAAATAAATTTAGATCAGGATTAAACGTCCTCCGAGCGTTTTAATAATAATAATAATAATAATAATAATGTAATCTTTATTTACTACAAGTGCACATACAAGGTATACAGTCCATAGCTGACATCAGTGATATACTACTATATAGAAAACCCCTTTTTATGCAGAGTATTTCTTGTTGAATTAGACACATGTGCAACTCTTGGGTATCTTTACTGAGGAAACGTTTCGCCACACAGTGGCTTCATCAGTCCATACAAAGGAGAAGCTTGAAGAACAGAAGGAGAATGAGGTAATCAGTCCCTCAGCCTTGAGTCGATGTGGTCAGTCCATCAATCTTGAATAGAAAGGCTGAGGGACTGATTACCTCATTCTCCTCCTGTTCTTCAAGATTCTCCTTTGTATGGACTGATGAAGCCACTGTGTGGCGAAACGTTTCCTCAATAAAGATACCCAAGAGTTGCACATGTGTCTAATTCAACATGTCGGTTCTCTGAACCATTCAACTACAGAGTATTTCTTGCAAATTAAGTTAGCTTTTGTCCCAGGATGCGACTCACACCAGTCGACTAACACCCAGGTACCCATTTTGAACTGATGGGTGAACAGGGACAGGGACAGCAGGTGTCCTATGGAAACACGTCCCTAATGTTTACTAGCCGTACCGGAGGAGATTCGAACCCCGGACCTCAGTGTGTGAGCTGAGTGCGCTGGCCATCGAGCTATAAAAATGTAATTCCTATGAAATATAAAGAACAAAAGACAAAATAACCTGACTGGAACGATACACACACATCCCGTACATAGAGAGAAACTTAAAACTGGACCATTAACTAGTTGGGTTATTGAGGCTGGGACTTTGGGTAGTTTCAAATTTAGGTTGGATAAGTACATGAGTGGGAGGGGTTGGATTTGAGAGGGACTTGCACATCAGAGCTTGTTTCTTGGGTGGCATTGAAAATTGCGTTGGTCAAATGTTTGTTAGTGGGATGAATTGTAAAGGACCTGCCTAGTATGGGCCAACAGGCCTGCTGCAGTGTTCCTCCTTTCTTATGTTCTTATGTTCACACAGTGACTAATCAATGGCCCAAGTTGGACCATAAGTTACTTTTAAATATGTCGTCACGTTATATAATAACACGAGTATATAGTTTAACAATGTGATTTTTAGTAGTAGAGGTCCCCACAAGTTTCTTAACTTTTGAGGTTGGACCAGCTGCTTGCCTGGAGGCTCCCACGAGATTTAAACCCTCACTGAAGAAGAGAGAGAGAGAGAGAAAGAAAAAAAAGAGTTAAATAATATAAAAACTGCCTTTTTTCATCACACAGTTAAAATTCTATGGAATCTTACCATCTTCACATAACATTATGGTAGTTAAAATAACATTAACACTCCCCATCTTCTCTCAAAATATTGTCATCTGTGTCTTGTAATGTGACTCTAAACGAGGTATTTCCCTTCGTTAACTTCGCTGTTTATCTTCCTGATTCGTAACATTATCAGAAGAAAACTAAAAAAAACACAGGAAGAGAAACGCTTACTCTTAAAACACACACGAAAAAAAATTAAGGAAAATTAATGATTCTTAATAAAAGAGACAAAAATATAGAAGATAATTTTTTCTCTTAAAACGAAAAAAAAGAAGAGGAAAAAATGTTCCTGAAACGGACAAAAAAAAAATAAACAAGAGGAAAGTTTGTTCCTAAAACAGAAAAAAATAAGGAAGATAGAAGGTATGTTCCTAAAACTTAAAGAACAATAAGAGGAAAGATTGTTCCTAAGGCAGATGGCGTAATTTTCTCTGTAAGATCCATTGTGTAAGCAGGAAACAGCGATAGGTAATAAAGAATAGTCATATGGATCTACACTTCCCTCTCTCTCTCTCTCTCTCTCTCTCTCTCTCTCTCTCTGAGTGATATAACTAACAGGAAGACATGCAGAGTGGTTGCTTAGAAAGACTGAATTAGGCAGCATCCCACTGACAGGTTGCTGATATAATAAGGCAGCATTCCACTGACAAGTTGCTGATAGAAGGCAGCATCCCACTGACAAGTTGCTGATATTAGAAGGCAGCATCCCACTGACAAGTTGCTGATAGAAGAAGGCAGCATCCCACTGACAAGTTGCTGATAGAAGAAGGCAGCCTCCCACTGACAAGTTGCTGATAGAAGAAGGCAGCATCCCACTGACAAGTTACTGATAGAAGAAGGCAGCATCCCACTGACAAGTTGCTGATTTAAGAAGGCAGCATCCCACTGACAAGTTGCTGATATAAGAAGGCAGCATCCCACTGACAAGTTACTGATACAAGAAGGCAGCATCCCACTGACAAGTTACTGATATAAGAAGGCAGCATCCCACTGACAAGTTACTGATATAAGAAGGCAGCATCCCACTGACAAGTTACTGATATAAGAAGGCAGCATCCCACTGACAAGTTACTGATATAAGAAGGCAGCATCCCACTGACAAGTTGCTGATATAAGAAGGCAGCATCCCACTGACAAGTTGCTGATATAAGAAGGCAGCATCCCACTGACAAGTTACTGATACAAGAAGGCAGCATCCCACTGACAGGTTGCTGATATAAGAAGGCAGCATCCCACTAACAAGTTACTGATACAAGAAGGCAGCATCCCACTGACAAGTTGCTGATATAAGAAGGCAGCATCCCACTGACAAGTTACTGATATAAGAAGGCAACATCCCACTGACAAGCTGCTGGGTAGATTCCTGTTACGAATCCTTTAACAGATGTAAAAGAGGCAGGAAGTGCCGGATCTGAGAGAATAAACTGAGACTGTGAATCAGCATCTTTCACAGGTCGCAAGAATGGCTAGGTCAGACTGTTATTTCCTAGATTTACTGGTAATTATGGTAGAATTACCGATAAAATGATAGGTAAATGGACACAGATGCAACTAACGTGACATTGTATTGGGGCAACGTTTCGCTCTTTAGGAGCGAAACGTTGTGTCCATTTACCCAGATATAGTGTCATTCAAGGTATATCCCCTTTAACCATTACTCCTCAGTCCCAAAATTCCACGTGTTCACAGATGATTGAATTGTGTATTTAGTAAGGCAGAAAATACCATAAACCGAATACAGTGTCTTAGTAACGTACTCGTTGGTATATTATGCCATTGGTTGCACCTGCTTAGTAATACTAGATCAGAGGTTCTGAACCTTTTCTAGGAACCAAATACTGTACTGTGAGTGAACAAATCTAACTAGAAAAAAATATGCTTTCAATTTATTGTATAAAACGCAAATAAAAACTGAGCAATCAGAATAGTTTTTGGCAAGGTAAATAGAGTTGTTTTTTTCATTAGGACGTTTTGTCGCACCCCCTGAAATGCCATCTTGCATCCCCCCAGGGGGTGTGTGCACCCCAGGTTGGGAACCCCTGTGCTAGATGCTTAGTGACATCAGAAACACCTGTGGCTAACTCGCTGCTGTGTGTACCTGGGCCAGCGATGGCAAGTTACAGTTGCTACAAGAAAAACACAGATAATTTTCTTAAATACTTAATGTAACTAGTCGATGTTGAGTAGAAATTAATTGAAAAATATGTGAAAATCAGAGATGAAATTGATGTCATGTCTTCGAGCATTTTGATTATGGTTGTGTGATGAATAATATTGAAGTGAGGCTTGCAAGCGTGAAGCTTGCATTAAGCTTGCATCATTAAGAGTCAGCCAGCTTGAATGTGCTAGATTATAATGACTGAGATTATTATTATATATGACATATAATAACCCGATAATAACGAAATTATGTATATGTGTGTAATTTGAAGCCGATCGAAGGCCGCGTTCTCAAGTTATAGACGAAAACACTGGAAGAAGGGCAGTAAATTAGGAACCCATTATAAGGTACCTTTTTCCGGCTATCTAATTATCCCGATGGATGCTCTGATCCACAGCCGGATACAGCTTTATCCTCTTATGTATCTCCTTGTGTAATACTAAATGGTAAACCTCGTCTTAGCTTACTGTTGTAAGCATATTGTTGTATCTTGGCCTTATATTAAGCTAAGGTAGGTAACTGATCTTAGCTTAAGTTAAAGCCGGGAATCTTGGACTAACTTGTGTTCTGTAGGAGTCTAAAGTGAATACACGTACACGTACGGAACGCGCGTACACAGACGGGGCCAGGAGCTGAGATTCAACACCCTGCAACTACATTGAAGTGTACCACACACACACACACACACACACACACACACACACACACACACACACACACACACACACACACACACACAATCTAGGCCAGACACAAGACCGACAGAGTTACTGGAGGCAACTATGATAAATTTAGTGTTAAGACATCTAAGAGAGAGAGAGAGAGAGAGAGAGAGAGGGTGAAGTTGAACCAGCCAGAATAGATTCAGAATTCTCAACGAATCAGATGTCATAATGACTCAGGGAACTTGAGCTACAGCACGCCACAGCCATAATGTTTTGGGATTCATTTGTGGTCACAGTGGTGGCCCATGTTAACCCGCCCATGATGTTTAGAAATATACCTAGCTGGATGAATGTTGTTAGAGCCAGTTGGCTCAGTGGTTAACACACTGACCTGTGAATTTTATGACTCATTTATGTATTCAAAACCCTAACCCGTTTCCCTGGTTTTAAGTCAAACACAGGAGGGAGACACAACACCCCTTCGTTTTAGTCTAATGACCTCCGCTTGATGTTTAGACGCTAAGTAGAGGTACACAAAGCACAGAGGACGGTGAAAAAGATGAGAAGGTGGTAAGTAAGTTTATTCCGGTATACACACATATAGTTACATAGATTATCATACATAGCAGCATATGTTATTGTAACCACTAGCCAAGGACTCGAACCCATGTTGTACTGGCCCGCCTCATGGAGAGCTAGAA